AAGTATATGTTATATTTTAGCAATTCATCCCACCACCTAAAAGAGGATGGGGGACTTCTTGCTAACTTGGGTTAAACAATCTATTTCCTGTAATAGGGTCAATAGCGTCTACTGGATTACCAAGATGGTCATACATTTCAATTTCATTATGAAAACCATCCCAAGTATAGTAGCAACGCTTTGGACCAGACTTACCATTAGTCTTAATACCATCACGATAATGCGTTAATCCTTTTCAAACCGGACTTTCTGTCTTAGATACATTTACTACTCCTCTACTATTTTCGCCTTTGAACCAAGGATTTTTTTCCTTTCACTCGGCTATATAACTTTTTGAACTATCAGGAAGTCATTCGTATGCATGACGCTCATAATCTTTTCAATAAAGTCTTCTAAATTCTAAATACTCACTGTAAGTAGTTATGTTTGAAGAAGTATAAGGTCATTCCTCCCTTGCTCACTCACGAAACCTAACTATTTCCTTTAACTCCCGTAGAGTATATGTAGAGCCTCTATCACTAAATCCTCATTCGAGCAAAGCACTTCTTTCCTCACCAGTAATTCCATTAGCCCACCAATCTCAAAGAGTTCTGAAATCAGAACTATAAGAAGAGGCTGCTGTAAACGCTGAGTAAGAACTTGAAGAATTCCCAACAGCAAAAGAACGACCAATTTGAGATATTTCATTAGAGTGTTCTTCTATAAACCTCCCAGTTTCCACTACTGCTCGTGAAATATCTGGTGAACTTGCTGCTCGACCAACAGTCTCTACCACCGGTCCAGCTGGCGTGTTAACTAAAACTTGAAGCAATTGAAAAAAATTAAACATTGGTCCAGACCCCTTCGGTTCTCCTATACCTCCATAACTGGCAACTTCAAAATCATAACTCTCATTTATTTCCTCATCATTCTCATAACTTTTCACAAATTCCTCATAACTAGGAACTTTGTATTCGTCTTTTATTTCTTGAACCAATTCAATTGGTTTTTTGTTTTCTAAATATGGATTTAATTTTGGCATATTTTTAAATATTTTATTTTGTGATTTTACTTGATTAATTTTTACTAATTTAACCGCATTAGCGACTGTTTTTAAT